TTCCTTCCTTCCTTCCTTCCTTCCTTCCTTCCTTCCTTCCTTCCTTCTTTCCTTCCTTCCTTCCTTCCTTTCCTTCCTTCCTCCCTCCCTCCCTCCCTCCCTCCCTTCCTTCCCAATGGTTAGAATGCAGTATTGCAGGTTAATTCTGCCCACAGCCAAAAGTTCAATCCTAACCAGCTCAAGGTTGATTCTGCTTTCCATCCTTCCAAGGTCAGTAAAATGAGAGCCCAGATTTTGGGGGCAAATATGCTGACTCTGTAAACCACTTAGAGAGGGCTGGGATAGCATTGGGGGGCAGTATATAAGTCGAAGTATTATTGCTAGAAGAACATCTGGAAGCTTCAGTTGGGGTAGATATAAAAGAAGGACTAAAAGACTAAAAAGCAGAGTGGGGAGAAGAATTAAATATAGCAGTCTGAATTTCTTGAAAGAGAAGTAGAAGACAACCTATCGTGAATATGTTTATCTGGATAAAGCTGGTGAAATCAAAAGCAGACATCAGCCAAGCAATATTAAGAGGAGAACTGATTTCTAGTTAAGATGGCAATTAATCCCACTTATATTCTCCTGCCAAGCTTTGCTTCAGCTCATCTCATGCCAGTATCTTTACTTCTTTTGTTATTGCAGGAAAGCTTTAGCACGGAGGGTATTTTTAGCACAGGGAATGGATTAAATATTCCACTTTATCAATAGGCAGCCTCTGCCTGGATGCTCAGGTAGTTAAACTGTTTACCCAGAAGGTAGGAAATAGCCTTGTAATGTGAATTTCCAATGAATGCAGAGAAAACACATAGAATGTTCTGGGTCTGAGTGCAAAGTCAGAAATGGAGAAGCATCGAAGGGCTGCAAGCAGCGGTGGACTGCTGGGGTTTCGCAGGGGTTCAGGAAAGTTTTCGTCCTCCTGGAGGCTCAAGGAAATCCTCCGGAGTCTGGGGAGGGCAAAAATGCCCCCCTTCCCCTCCATGGTTCAGGAGGCTGACTAGGCCACACCCACCATTTTTATTTTATCTATTGATTTGATTTGTCAAACGCTTACAATATAATAGAAATAAGAATAAACCTAAGTATAAATACATGAAATAGGTATGAATAATTGGGGACAATAGGACGGGGACGGTAGGCACAATGGTGCACTTATGCACACCCCTTACAGACCTCTTAGGAAGGGGGTGAGGTCGATAGATGTTAGTTTGAGGGTAAAGGAGTGATGGTTTGAGCAGGTGACAACAGAGTCAGGTAGCGAGTTCCAGGCATTGACCACTCTGTTGCTGAAATCATATTTCCTGTAATCAAGTTTGAAGTGGTTTACATTAAGTTTGTATCTGTTGTGTGCTCTTGTGTTGTTGTGGTTAAGCTGGAATATTCATTAACTGGTAAGATGTTATAACATATGATTTTATGTACTATGCTTAAGTCAATCTTAGCCGGCATAGTTCAAGATTATCTAAGCCTAGAATCTCAAATCTGGTGGTGTAGAGTATTCTGTTGTGAACAGAGGAGTGTGGTACTCTTGTAAAATACCTCTGGACTCGCTCAATTGTATTAATGTCTGGTATACAGTGCGGATTCTGACAGTGTAGCTGTATTCATGTATTGGTCTAACAAAGGTTTTGAATCCCCTAGTTTGCAAATCAGTATTACCAGAGGAGAAGCTTCATAAGATTAGATTTACAACTCTTAATGCCTTTTTGGCAATGCTGTTTCAGTGAGCTCTGGCGCCTAGGTCATTAGATATGAGTACTCCAAGGTCCTTGATAGAGTGAGGGTCATCAACAAGATCATATCCGTTTAGCTTGCATTTGCTGTATTTATTTATTTATTACCAATGTGCAGGACAGAACCATGGCCACGCCTACCCAACAACCGGGCAGAGAACCCCTTGCTAAAAATGTTGAAGCCACCGCTGATTGCAAGTATTTACTTCTTCTTGAGATATGAGTTATGCATGCAGAAAATGGTTATGGACAAAACTGGGACATATGTCTCTCTGTAGATTTTGCAAGGCAAAGTGGCGATTCTATCCATCCGCTGGGAGGTTTTAACTTGGATCGATAAATATAAGAGTTAACGATTATTTGGACAGAGGTTAATGCTGTTTCAGCGATTGGAATCCTGAGATAAAGACAGAATTGAATAGATCTTTTGGGGAATTGTAATTTAGAAGGCATTCGGGGAAGCTTTCCTTTCTCTGTTTTCCATAATGTTGTTACACCAGAAGAATTAGTGACTGAGACACATGGATATTGATTCATCCATCCACATCCCAGAATAGATACGTTCTTTCTGCTAAAACTCTTTAAATCCCACATTTAGAGTAAATATTTGTGGTTAGCTGAGAAACGTATGACAGGATGAAAAAAAATATTGATCAAAAGGGACAGATGAATAGCGACTCTTGCAAGTGTATCAAAATAATCCTGGGATTTGAGGTTAAAGTAATTTTTATTGGAAAATAGCAGAGTCTTGTATTAATTAAGCTACATTCTCTGTAAGTGTGACTCAGAGCAAATTAATGTGCTGATGGAATATAACTGTACAAGGTTAAATAATATCTGTAGAACTGTTTTGATCTAGGACATTTCATCAGAATTGATTTATCTTGTAGGCTGGAGTTGTTCCTGTGTTCCGCTTGCTTGAATAATATCGCAGAGCATGTTTTCCTAATAAAATCTAATACATCAAGATCACTTGCAAGATGCTCTCAAATAGTGTTGCAAAATATTTTTTAATTATTTCTGGATAAACCCGATCATTATTGTACCTTATCAACCTTCTCCCTGGCTCTTCCTCTTCAGATACAAAGCAGAGAAGCTTGCAACGTAGATTAAAATCAATTAAGAACAATGACATCAAATTACCGATAATAGAAACAGAAGAACTCCATTTGACAGCCCTCCAATAAAAACAACTCTGTAACAAATTATAAAAAGGAAAAAAAAATAACCTAATGAAAATAACTAATCTCAGAGCAAAACCAGACTTGGAGAAATAACAAACGGGATTCATTCCACGCAACGTTTTCCTTAGAAGGTTAATTCTTGAATTGACTTTGATATGTAAATCACAGATGGGATTTCCTAAGGAGAAGGTTTCACAACAATGGTGTCATAACCAAAAAGGCCCTGTATTTATTTATTTATTTTATTAAAAAGATCCATATCAGGCTACCTACAGTCTACATTATAACTCTGGTATTTCCTTCTGTTCCAAAAGTCAATGCAATCCTAGGCTGTATAAACAGAGGGATAGAATCAAGATCACGTGAAGTATTAATACCACTTTATAAGGCCTTGGTAAGGCCACACTTGGTATCCTGCATCCAGTTTTGGTCACCACGATGTAAAAAAGATGTTGAGATTCTAGAAAGAGTGCAGAGAAGAGCATCGAAGAGGATTAGGAGACTGGAGGCTAAAACATATAAAGAATTGGGTATGTCTAGTTTGAAGGAAAGAATGACTAGGGGTGACAATATAGCAGCCTTCCAATATCTCAGGGGCTGCCCCAAGGAAGAGGGAGTCAAGCTATTAAAGCACCTGAAGGCAGGACAAAAAGCAACAGATGGAAACTAATCAAGGAGAGAAGCAACTTAGAACTAAGGAGAAAGTTTTCTGACAGTGAGAACATATTGGAACAACTTGTCTCCAAAAGTTATGAACGCTCCAACACTGGAAGTTTTTAAAAAGCTGTTGGATAACATTTGTCTGAAGTGGTGTAGGGTTTCCTGCCTAAGCAGGTGGTTGGACTAGAAGACCTCCAAGGTCCCTTCCAACTCTGTTATTCTACTCTACTCTACTCTACTCTACTCTACTCTACTCTACTCTACTC